CATGCACGTCGCTATGTAAATGCAATAGTCTTGAGTACAACGTTAAACCCCATTGAGATTCGTGTCCTCTTGAACGGATAGTGAATACTCTACTGTGAGATTCGTGTCCCCTGGAACGGATAGTGAATACTCTACTGTGAGATTCGTGTCCCCTGGAACGGATAGTGAATACTCTACTGTGAGATTCGTGTCCTCTGGAACGGGTAGTGAATACTCTACTGTGAGATTCGTGTCCTCTGGAACGGATAGTGAATACTCTACTGTGAGATTCGTGTCCTCTGGAACGGATAGTGAATACTCTACTGTGAGATTCGTGTCCTCTGGAACGGATAGTGGATACTCTACTGTTAGATATTTATGTCCTCTGAAACGAATTGTGAATACTCTACTGTTAGATTCATGTCCTCTGGAACGGATTGTGAATACTCTACTGTGACATCCGTGTCCTCTGTAACGGATTGTGAATACTCTACTGTGACATCCGTGTCCTCTGTAACGGATTGTGAATACTCTACTGTTAGATTCATGTCCTCTGTTACGGATTGTGAATACTCTACTGTAAGATTTATGTCCTCTGTAACGGATAGTGAATACTCTACTGTTAGATTTATGTCCTCTGAAACGAATTGTGAATACTCTACTGTTAGATTTATGTCCTCTGTAACGGATAGTGAATACTCTACTGTTAGATTTATGTCCTCTGTCACGAATTGTGAATACTCTACTGTTAGATTCATCTCCTCTGAAATGGATAGTGAATACTCTACTGTTAGATTCATGTCCTCTGAAATGGATAGTGAATACTCTACTGTTTGATTTATGTCCTCTGTAACGAGTTGTGAATACTTTACTGTTAGATTCATGTCCTCTGGAATGGATAGTGAATACTCTTCTGTTAGATCCATTTCCAGATAGTGATTTAGAGTTTTATTATTAACAGTCAGAACAACCATTCAGAACGTGTTATAAATAGACAAACACACACACACACACACACACACACACACACACACACACACACACACACACACACACACACACACACACACACACACACACACACACACACACTTGGTGTTGTCGTGGACGCGCGGCATGCTCAGTGCCTCGTCCTGGTTCAGTGTGATCAGTGTGCTGATAGTCGAGCATGTCATGTTCAGGTGTGAGGTCACGACATTGCTTGTGTATCTTAATGTCATGTCAAACCAAGGATGTGGCTCTACTCCCTTCAAGATACGTTCTTTGTGCTTAAAGCTTTACTTTTCATGACAGCTCACCCGTCGGGGCCCAAAACGTCAAGGAAAACTCGAAAGCGTTCGCTTAGAACAGAATTTCAATCGGTTCTTGTAAATGGAGTCGGTTTTAGAATTCAAGGGGACATTTCAAATCGATAACATTGCTTCCGAACAGTTGAGTTGAACTGTTGATCTAATGAAGCATTTACTTGAGACCGAGGCGGTCTCGACGCCTTCAAGGTCGTTGACAGGATTAACGGGGCCGAGAGCGCCGGCCATGGAGTATCGCCCGGAGCCTCGTACTCTATCTAATTGACACAGGCCTTCCCTCTCCTGCTGAGATTCTGGGAACGCCACCAACAAGTAAATGCCAATGCTCACCATCAAAGCCAATTGTGACTAGAAGATCTGGGTGTTGATTTCATCACCTGACAATACGACAGCTTTAAGAAACTCTCAGAGAAATAATAGGCTTGTTGAGGAATATAAAATTAGCAATATGTAGGTCCGCCCCGGGGATATTAGCGTGGTGTGGAATGGGGATGGACCACGCAGTGACGTATAGCATCAGTTCCAGTAGCTAAGGTCATGGCAACTTTTTGAAACGTTACAGTTCAATATGACATTATCAGTGTATTCACGACCAGTCCTTTGCCATTCTGGGACAAGCCGAATGGCGACTCTTACCCTTCTAGTAAGAGAACTACTTTCAACAAGAACGATAACTCTATTTCTATCAACAACTATGATTCATATAATACAGTTCTGTGTATGACGTTACACAAATATCACGATGTTTTGATTCATCACTCATTTTCATAATTGATTCAAGCACTCTGTATCATTTTTATCAATCTACCCGAATCCTTACGCGAATTCTGATTTGTCGTATTTTCGTACATAACCTTGATAGATAGAGGGTCGAGTCTTCTTGAAGGATGCGGAAAGGAGGCAAGTAGTGATGAATGACGTTACTGTTGACGTCACACAGTCGACGTCTCTTATCCTGATGACCTTTACTTTACTTCACTTTACTGATGCACAGCGTGTTATATAACATACACAAGTGTGAGATTCTGTTAGATGGTCTTTGCATTTGTGGGGAAAACACTGACCATTTCATTTGATGATATTAATATTGCTTGGCGTGACCTTTGGATCTCAGCTCTGTACACTAAGTAGCTGTGACCTAGTGCTTACTTGGAGAGCAATGTCTTGTCAAACGTCTATAGTGGTAATTGTCCGTCCTAGGTAACTGCAGGGGTGTACGACGTCTCTAGCGTATTGACTCGTATTGTCCTTTCCATGATCTGGGCAAGACAAATGAAACAGAGATGGCGTGAACATGTATACCTTTCCCACTTGAACCGTGCATGGGTCTGTATGTGTCTCATATTCGCCTCAAAAGCTGTATATACCCCAACACATCAGGAGTCACACGACCAAATAAAGATCATTTCAGCCCCCTTGGACAAGCACCTAAACGCATTATCACTATGACGTGGTTATTAAACCTCTTCGAGCTGATGGTCCATTGCAAAGCTGTACACACGATGTCATGAACCTCCACTAGACATTCAGTAGCAACCGCCCGATCACTTTATCTTCATCGCTTGTGTATTTACCTTCTGTTAACTTATCATGGACCTCCCATTAGGGGTGACAAAGTGAGTGAATATGGTTTTACGCCGCTTTTAGCAATATTCCAGCAATATCACGGCGGGGGACACCAGACATGGGCTTCACACATTGTACCCATGTCGGGAATCGAACCCGGGAGGGGGAGGTGGGGGGGAGGTGGGGGGTGATCTTTTCTGTTCAATGTTTTGTGGCTCATCTTTGGATTTGGTACAACTCGGCCAAATACGACAAACGCATGGCTCATCAGTCCGTTCTTTCGTCACGCCATATGAACACGTGTGTTATTGACATTCCAACATATTCAGCTCAGAGATCGTGCAACAGCAGATATTGCCCTGAGCTGTTATTATTTCCCCTGTTCAACCCCCCCCCCCCCCCCCCCCCCATGGATTGCCAGCAATTGCAGTAATTTGCAACGGTGATTGGCTCGTATCATTATTATTGGTCAGCCGTCTTGTAACAAGCGGTTCTAGGTGAGGTGCAATGAGATTTAACTTCACGTACAAGATTATTGCACTTAACCCCGGATTTTCAGCTCTCCACAACCGTACCAGTCGTCTCTTCTGTGACTCCTATGGTGCCATGTGGTCATCACTTTTTCATAGTAGTACAGTGCATCAGTATTTCATAATATTACATGTCACTGTTCACGGGGCAACATAATCTTGGATAATCATTGACACATGATTATGATAATGACAATTGATACGATTGTTTTGATATTTGATGAGATTATGTTGGGGCAATTGTAGTTACGTTATCTCATTTCAGCAGATATAATTTCATTAGAATGACATTCCAGATATTTTACGGCGGCTTTAACGAATTCGAGTCTTGACCAGGCAAACCAGTGGTTGATAGCATGAGCATCGACCCACGTAAGCTGGTCATGCCAACACAGTCAGCCACAGCAATCTGCCCCAGAATAAATGTTGTTTAGTTTGTGTGTTTGTTTGTTGTTTAACACACACTCAGTAATATTCCAGTCTGTTAAGACCAGACAATCCAGTGATTGACACCATGATCATCGATCCACGCAACTGGGATACGATGACATGCATCAATCAAGTCAGCGAGCCTGACCACCTGATCCCGTTATTCGCCTCTTACGACAAGCATAGTCGAGTTATAGTAAATGTGTGCATGTCAACATTATATGCTTAGCTTCATATTTGAATATCGCCATTCTCATGAAAGACAAGTGTTCCTCTGTTGGAAAATGGATAGTGTGATGTTGGATAGTTTTAGTTTGGATAGTGTGAAATCCGATAGTGTGAAGTTGGATAGCGTGAAAATGGACAGTCTGATGTTATATAGTGTGAAGTTGGATAGTGTGATGTTTAATAGAGTGAAGATAGATAGTGTGATGTCAGATAGTATGATGTTGGATAGTGTTAGTCTGGGGAATGTGATGTTGGATAGTGTTAGGCTGGATAGTGTGATGTTGGATAGTGTTAGGCTGGATAGTGTGATGTTGGATAGTGTCAGGCTGGATAGTGTGATGTTGGATAGTGTCAGGCTGGATAGTGTGATGTTGGATAGTGTCAGGCTGGATAGTGTGATGTTGGATAGTGTTAGGCTGGATAGTGTGATGTTGGATAGTGTTAGGCTGGATAGTGGGATGTTGGATAGTGTTAGGCTGGATAGTGGGATGTTGGATAGTGTTAGGCTGGATAGTGGGATGTTGGATAGTGTTAGTCTGGACAGTGTGATGTGGGATACTGTGAAGTTTGGATGTGGTGATGTCCTAGAGGATGCAGAAAAGCTTATTTGGTTTCCCAGGTTTAAACCAACAACAAAAATTAGTCAGTGTACAAATTGGATGTTGTGAAATAAAGGTGTGTATTTAAAGGTGCTAACTGAATTAATATTCTGTTCCAAACATTGTCGGTACAGTTAAATGAAACATCCGATGTCACCACTCCGCAGGTATGATGCAGCCATTCTTTTTGTGGTATTGAATGTCTTCAGAGACGACACGTGTGACCTACATGGACCGAGGAGTATATAGTTACTCCTACTCCTGGTCTGCATGCTGTAGGTCCCATGCCTCTTAACACACCGCTTTGGTAAAAGGATATATGTGATATACAAGGTTATAACTCATTTTTCTCTATGTAACAGATATCCGGATCGAGTGTCGTGGTCAGGCACGGGTGTTTTGGGAGGACAGTTCCAGTTCTATGTCAGAACCTCAGAACCCCGGCTACGCTGACCAGCACACGGCCGAGGAGGAGTACCTATCAGTCAGCAAGAAATTGTGTAAGCTTGTAATTATATCGAATTGTGCATACCATGTTAATTCTAAATAATACAATTTTTTCGGTTGGTATATTTTGAACTGTCATCAAATCAGTGTAAATCGAATCCTTCTTGAAACGCAGAGACGTTCACACACACACACACACACACACACACACACACACACACACACACACACACACACACACACTGCGAGAGAGCTCCGTATACAGTAACCGACCGTCATTCAACAAGGCATTACCTAATCCCACGCAAGTAAAAAAACCACAAGGGGTCATGGGTGTCCCAGTCGTCTAAAGCGCCGCGATTCGCTGTGCAGAGTTGCGTCCCTTGGGCACGCCAGAAACCTATGATTGTGGGTTCGAATCCCGGTTCGCCCCCATTATGTTTCTAGGTTTGTCAGCACCATATCCGTACTCGTGGGTTTCACCGAAGTGTTAAACGTCTGAGACCTGCATCACTTCGGGCTTTCCTCCCACATTAAGCTGACACGCCGCGAATAATGTTAAAACTCAACTCACACACTCACACACTCAAAAACCGACAATAATTACCAGTAGCCAGTCTCTGGCTTGTGCTGAAAGAAAGCCATTCTGTCTGAATTGCATGGAACCGGCGTTATATTTCTGCTTAAACACGTCATAAAACACAGTGTTTACAGTCAGCTAATATCGACAGACTGGATTAAACCACAACTGAATATCCTTATAACAAAACAAATCCCGCGTAGATCTAAATCTAGAACATCTAACTCCATGTATACAAATGACATACAGGAATATGCATCGCCTACATAAATTGCTTCTACTCCATTATGTCCTTTATCTTCAGGGTCGGGGCAACTTCCTCGCGGCTCCCATAACCTTCAGTTCCAGTTCCATATTCCCGAGGGAGTACCGAGTTCATTCGATGGCGAGTTTGGCTACATTCGCTACTGGCTCAAGGTGTTTATTGACCGCTCCTGGCGGACTGACACAAACACGAAGCTCTTCACTGTTCTGGCTAAAGTAGATCTTAATGAAATACCAGACGCCAACGTACGTACAATTACCGTTTTGCGACGGTTTTATTGCACAATGAAATCAAGAGATCTCAAAGATAAAGTGGTAATGTTTCTAAAGTAGCCGTTTGAACTGCACAACCCCAACAGACTACTTCCTTAATGCGTTACCTAGTTTACCATCATCGCCTTGTCTCCTTTATGTATTGTCTGGATCCAGGTTTAGATTCATGCTTAAGCGTATAAGTTTGCTATTTTTGGCCTGTTGATTCGCGTTTTAGTTCATATTTCAAATTCTAACCATAATGGAGTTTTGGGACGTTAATAGGTATAAATCATGCAAATTGTTATTTCCAGAAAGGGCGGTTGGGTAGCCTAGTGGTTTAAGCGTTCGCTCTTCACGCCGAAGACCCGGGTTCGATTCCCGACATGGGTACAATGTGTGAAGCCCATTTCTGGTGTACCCCGCCGTGATATTGCTGGAATATTGCTAAAAGCGGCGTAAAATCAAACTAATTATTTCCAGGAGGGAAATTCATGACACGGAGAACAATAGTGTGTCATTTAGCGATCTATATATTTTAACCATAGATGGAGCAAACCTTTTTCGAACACCCACGAGCACGAATATGGTGCTGACAAACCATGGTGAATCTGGGAGTCGAAGTCCAATTCGTGTGTTGGTGGTACTCACAAGAGACGCCACTCTTCACATCGAATTGCGGCGCTTAGACGATTTGACCACCGTGTTTGTAATGTCGTCATATTGCAATCTTTTACTGTTACCTTGATCTTGCAGGAGTTCGTTGAAGTGGCTGACAGCATGAAAGTCTCGGCGTTATTCTCACCGTCAGGGGTCTGTAACGCCGCCTTGCGTCTAAACCGGAAAGGTTTCGTTCCAGGGGAGATAATCCCTCTAAAGTTCTCGATCCGGAATGACACAGCACGTGATGTCCACCGAGTGTCTGTGGAACTGCGTCAGATCACAGACTACAAGGCGAGGAGCCAGGACAAGAGAACAGAACGAGTTATGGCGAAGCTGAAGTTTGGTCGGATACCAGCCCGTGCCACATATGAGAAGAGGGAAAACAAGCTGCGCCTCCCTCTCTGCCCCCCGGGGAACCTGCGTGGGTGTGGTCTCATACACTCCTACCAGAAAGTGATGGTGAGAGTTTGTCACAGAGTGAGTGAGTGAACGTGTACTGTTCTTCGCCATTTTTAGCAATATCACGTCGTGGGACTCCATTTTACCTATATTGTACAAAAGTGAGGTGAGGTGAAATGGGGTTTAACGTCGCGTCCAAGATTATTGCACTTATATAGCGACGTGCATGTACGTGTGTGTGTTTGCGTGGCTGCTTGTACTAGTCCGGACTGATGCCGATTTTAAGTGCTAGCTCACTGAGATACCATGCCGCAGTTTAACATGAATACCCCCTCAGACACAGTATACTGACTCCGAGCCGACCAGTCCTTGTTTTAGCCCCTTAATGCCGAGCGCCAGACAGGGTAACAACAAGTACCATCTTTTAACGTCTTTTGGTATGACGCGGCCGAGGATCGAGCCCCGGACCTTCCGCTCTTCGGCAAGACGCTCTACCACTTGACCACGGAGGCGGTCTTGTACAAATGTGTGGAATCGAACCCGAGCGTTTGGCGTAATGAGCGGACACATTACCCAATGGGCTACATCACTGCGCCTGCTATCAGTGATGTGAGGTGAAATGGATTTTAATGTTACGTTCAAGATTATTACACTCATGACGCATAGTTCTATTTACACATCCCCAATGTGCAAAAATATTTAAATTTCAGATTTCGTAGAAAAAAAGCATTTCAGAAATGAAATATTTGTAGCGTTTAAATGACTTTTTGCAGATAAAGCTTGACAGAAATAATATCCCCAAGTTGTTTAAATCGATAAGGAGTCGAAATCGTGCCGGGCATGAACTCTTCGGCAGAATAATGTCAAGCGATCAAAACCTGATATTGTACTAAGCTATTTCTGAACTAAGAGCCGACGGCTATGCAGGCACATCGCAACGAGGTGAGATGAAATGGGGTTTAACGTCGCGTTCAAGATAATTGCACTTATATAGCGACGTGCATGCGACGTGTGGTTGTTTGTTCTTGACCTGTTTTAAAGCTCTAGTCCACTGAGATACCATGCCGTAGTTTAACATGGATACCCCACGTATACACACTCAGTGTACTTACACCGATCCGACCAGGCCTTGTTTTAGCCCCTTAATGCCGAGTAACAACAAGCACAATTTTTAAACGTATGACGCGGGCGGGGGACGAACCCCGGACCTTCAACTCTCCGGGCGGACGCTCAACCACTCGACCACGAAGGCTGTCTGTAACTTTAGGAGCCAAGTAATCACAGTCTGTCACACAGACCATGAAACAAGTATATCCAATAAAGCCCATGCAAGTCTTAACATTTTTCAAGTCTAGATTACTGCAGTATAATGAAATGAAGAAAGTGTCTTTGCTCCTTTTAATTAATCACTGACCTTCTGCTCTCCGGGCAGATTCGGAAGTGGCGTCATGCAGTACTTCCATCTCCACATGGGGGCAAGGGTGGCCCAGTCGTCTAAAGCGCCGCGATTCCCTATGCAGAGTTGCGTAGCTTGGTCACGCCAAAACCTGTGATTGTGGATTCGAATCCCGGTTCGCCCCGATTATGTTTCTAGATTATGTCCGCACCATACCTGTGCTCGTGGGTTTTACGAAAGGGGTTAACGTCTGAGACATGCATCACTTCGGGCTTTCCTCCAACATTACGCCATTGATATAACTGGAAGACTTTTCAAAGCGGCGTTAAACCCAACTAACTCACTCACTTACTCCACCTCTAACTTTGCATGAACGGTTATAACTGGTGCCATTCAAACTCTAAACGAATTGGTCTCGGCTATTTACCAACATATAATGGAGACATAATACTCTTGATCATCGATGATGAGACGTTCTTATCTGAATATGTTTATATTTCCCAGCTGAAGGTGAAACCATCGGCTCTATCCTTCAAGCAAATGAAGATCCCTATAGAGCTGATTGTGGGGACAGTGCCGTTAAGACAAGGGTCACTCTCCTCTGGACTTGACAGCGGGGTGGTGGGGCTACAGCACATCCCCCCTGAACTGCCGGGTACCTCCGACCCTGACTGGACAACCCCCTGTAAGTAGAGACACATTTCTTTCCTGTATTTACAAGGTGGCCAGCTCAAGAAATAACGGCAGTCAACACATACTGACCCACAGAATAGGGTGTCGTTGTACAAAGCATTCTTAGCGCATAAGTGATCGTTACTCCCATACATTAACATAGACTTGCGTATATAGTCGTAGCGCTAATGTTGTTTTGTACAACGGCACCCACTACATGAAAGTACAGGGCAATGCAGTACCTGACCTCCTAGACAGTAGACCTCCTACAGTAGAATAAGCTTTGATTGACTTTTGTAAAAGTTTATGGCCACTTTACTTTAAAAATGCAACGATGATATGAAATAATCATGTCTGTAACATCTGTGCGTATTACAAAAAACATCTTTCGAATGACAAAAACACAAACTGTAATGCTGAAATAACTTGTGATCTGTTTGAAGCAAAAGCATGTGTTTATGGATCACTATTAAATAGGCATGAACTCAGGTGTACTCGAAAGGTGAGCGTATCCTGCCCAACCGGTGGTACCAATTACTAACAAATGCAAAGGCAAGTCAAGTATTCACCTTATGTTTGTTTCATGTTGTTTAACGCCGCACTCAGCAATATTCCAGCTATATGGCGGTCTGTAAATTATCGAGTCTGCCTCAGACAATCCAGTGATTGACATCATGAGCATCGATCCACGCAAATGGGATACGATGACATGCATCAACCAAGTCAGCGAGCCTGACCACCCGATCCCATTAGTTGCCTCTTCCGACAAGCATAATCGCCTTTTACGGCAAGCGTGGGTTGCTGAAGACCTTTTCTACCCCGGATCTTCAGGGGTCTATTCACCAGAATCAACACGGGAACATGTGGTACAAGTCAAATTAAGGAATTGAAATCGGACATCATTTTGGTCACAGATGCGTCAAATTTCGAGGTACCACTAACATAGGCTTTCGTTGATTCACACTGCTAAACAAACTTTAGAAAAATCACGATCTTACACATTGGTTCCACGGACCTGCCTAACCCGTGGAGTTAGATAACAGCAGCAGGGCTGGAAGGTTTGCCCGTGGGCGACAGTGTTCCTGTCGACCTGGGTGCCGTTAAACACAACCTTAGCACTACGACTGTCTCAAGTCGGACTCGCAAGTCTATGTTAAGGTATGGGAGTTACGATCACCTTAGCGCTGAGGTCGCTTTGTACACCTTGGCGCACCAGTCCACACAAGGCGAGCATGAATTCCACGATCAACGCGTCACATCCCGCCGTTGTCCACTCTATTTAACGAAACTTATACTTCAGTTGCACTCGGAGTTCCTCCTAAAACACAGTGTTCACACCGATTATTTAGCAGTGGGATCTTAGTGGCCCCTAAGCTGTACCTTTGGACAAAGATTTTTTTTAACTTATATGTTTTACCAATTAATGGACAAGAACTATTGAAATGTGGCTATTTTTCTCCTCAAATATTTTGACCGTGATAAATATAATCTCGTCTCCTCCTGAGGAGTAACTTCAAACTTCAAAATTCGGGGTAGGTGGTGAGCGTTGAAGTCACTGACCAATCACATTATATCTCCTCCCACTATGAAAAGGCCGTTTATAAAGCAACAATTACATTGCAGCACCGCCGACATACGAGATGACGTTGTATCGGTCACAGTCCCCGGGTCATCTGCCGTCGTCCCCTGGTGCTGTGGACACCCGGTCCTCCTCCATCAACCACCATCAGGACGACTACCTGACCATCCCGCCAGCCTACACCCCGCCGCGCCCCCGGGCCAACACCAACTCCAGCATCCTGAGGGCCCGGGGGAGATGACTAGCGGCCTGTGACGCCGGGGACACGGCGTCAGACTCGGACTGAGTACGCCTGTGATGAAACTCGTAAAGACTCCATGTAAAGACTTCACGGTTTTCCAAATTGAGACAACACAGAGGAGGTCTCCGTAAAACATCGTATTTCTAAACTATTCTGGGGTGTACTTGTCGTGAGGACCTCATTGATGCTCAAGGCATAATTAACAAGAGTGAGTTTGGTTTTACGCCGCTTTTAGCAATATCATGACAGGGGACACAAGAGGTGGGCTTCACACAATGTGGGGAAGCGAACCTGTGCCTTCGGCGTAACGAGCGAACGCTTTCATGACAGGGCTACCCAACCGCCCCAATGGTTAACAAGACGATCAAGCGAGGTGGTAGTATTGCTACACCCTCGTCCCTTCGAGGGTGTGCCCTAGCCTCTTAAAGCTGAGGGTCGTTATGACTCCCTAGCTCAACTAAAGGGAGTCATTGGTCTTTTGTAAGAGTGTCATTTTTACAAAATATTAATTGATGCGCGGTTTCATAATTTTAGTCACTCTAAAAAGTATTTTTTCTTGTAATCCTGTTTAAAAATGTTAGGTATTTATCTACTATCTACGCAGTAGTTAATCTAATTAAATCGTAATGTCCAACACTTGTTTTAAATTTTGTAGATTGATATAGACTCAATCAGCAACTGCTATATAAGAATATAACTCTTCGCGCGTGACTCGCCACACTAAGATTGTCAGAACTGTACACAGTAAATTATCTGGTGATATTGTTTAACCACAAAGCATGATCTGGGACAAATAACGAATTCAGCTGACTTGCAAACATCAAAAGTTGTCAGCCTGTCTCGCACTTTGAGATGCATGTATTATGATTCATTGTCCAATGGAATCTATGACGTTTCGGTTTAAAATCAGAACCAGATTTTGGCAATGTAATAGTTATTATTGTGTCATGGAAAACTTCTAAAATTAATTATCATTAAACGGGAAGCGATACTTGATGAAAGCTTGACACTTGAAAGTTTGTGACGTATATTTTCTTGGTTGGCTAGATGTGGGAATTCCATGGGACATAGAATGACAAAAATGTAACTGTTCATTAGAGTGCCTCTGTTACTATAGCTGTAACATCACAAGCACTCACAAGGCAAGTGTTGAAACTTAATCCTGATAAGCTGCCACTTATAGCTTGCCATTGTGGTTTACAGCATTAAACAAGGCTGATATCATTCGATTTTATTGTCAAGGGATATGTCTTTTTCAGATTTTAATATTCCGACACTATAGTGCAGATTAGACTGACATCTTGTATCGAGAATTAACATATGCGACAGAAAAAAACAGTTGTTAAATTGTCTTTGAAATATTATAATAAAGGTAGCCAAGATACTTTCTTCAGTCCGAAACTGCAGTAATATAGACTTGCCAAATATTATAGACTTGCATGGCCTGTATTGGATATATTTGTTTCATGGTCTGTGTGACAGATTAAGTGCAGATATGTTACTATTTTGACAGACTGAATGATGTGTCACAACCGAGGCAATTGAGAAAAAAATGTTGCATACTTCTTCTTAGATTGCTCAAATACGCATGTTTTCTGCGACAGGGGAAACCCTGTACCTGATTGTCGTTAGATCTGACTTAAACAGGATCGAGTGGCCATACTGTGACTTGCGTGTCACCGTGCCCCAATGCCCATGCTTTCTATCATTGGTTTGTATGTGTGTTGCCGGGAGTAGACCTTGGTCTTGACAGTCCTACGTGTGTTGCCGGGACTAGAACTTGGTCTTGACAGTCCTACGTGTGTTGCCGGGACTAGACCTTGGTCTTGACAGACCTACGTGTGTTGCCTGGACTAGACCGTGGTCTTGACAGTCCTACGTGTGTTGCCGGGACTAGACCTTGGTATTGACAGTCCTACGTGTGTTGCCGGGACTAGACCTTGGTATTGACAGTCCTACGTGTGTTGCCTGGACTAGACCGTGGTCTTGACAGTCCTACGTGTGTTGCCGGGACTAGACCTTGGTCTTGACAGTCATATGTGTGTTGCCGGGACTAGACATTGGTCTTGACAGTCCTACGTGTGTTGCCTGGACTAGACCTTGGTCTTGACAGTCCTACGTGTTGCCGGGACTAGTCCGTGGTCTTGACAGTCCTACGTGTGTTGCCGGGACTAGAACTTTGTCTTGACAGTCCTACGTGTGTTGCCTGGACAAGACCTTGGTCTTGACAGACCTACGTGTGTTGCCGGGAGTAGACCTTGGTATTGACAGTCCTACGTGTGTTGCCGGGACTAGACCTTGGTCTTGACAGTCCTACGTGTGTTGCCGGGACTAGACCTTGGTCTTGACAGTCCTACGTGTGTTGCCGGGACTAGACCTTGGTCTTGACAGTCCTACGTGTGTTGCCGGGACAAGACCTTGGTATTGACAGTCCTACGTGTGTTGCCGGGACAAGACCTTGGTATTGACAGTCATATGTGTGTTGCCTGGACTAGACCTTGGTCTTGACAGTCCTACGTGTGTTGCCGGGAGTAGACCTTGGTCTTGACAGTCCTACGTGTGTTGCCGGGACTAGACCTTGGTATTGACAGACCTACGTGTGTTGCCGGGACTAGACCTTGGTATTGACAGTCATATGTGTGTTGCCGGGACAAGACCTTGGTCTTGACAGTCATACGTGTGTTGCCGGGAGTAGACCTTGGTCTTGACAGACCTACGTGTGTTGCCTGGACTAGACCTTGGTATTGACAGTCATATGTGTGTTGCCGGGACTAGACCTTGGTCTTGACAGTCCTACGTGTGTTGCCTGGACTAGACCTTGGTCTTGACAGTCCTACGTGTGTTGCCGGGACAAGACCTTGGTCTTGACAGTCCTACGTGTGATGCCGGGACTAGATCTTGGTCTTGACAGTCCTACGTGTGTTGCCTGGACTAGACCTTGGTCTTGACAGACCTACGTGTGTTGCCGGGACTAGACCTTGGTCTTGACAGTCCTACGTGTGTTGCCGGGACTAGACCTTGGTCTTGACAGTCCTACGTGTGTTGCCGGGACTAGACCTTGGTCTTGACAGTCCTACGTGTGTTGCCTGGACTAGACATTGGTCTTGACAGTCCTACGTGTGTTGCCGGGACTAGACGTTGATATTGACAGTCCTACGTGTGTTGCCGGGACTAGACCTTGGTCTTGACAGTCCTACGTGTGTTGCCGGGACTAGACATTGGTCTTGACAGACCTACGTGTGTTGCCGGGAGTAGACCTTGGTATTGACAGTCCTACGTGTGTTGCCGGGACTAGACATTGGTATTGACAGTACTACGTGTGTTGTCGGGACTAGACCTTGGTCTTGACAGTCCTACGTGTGTTGCCTGGACTAGACATTGGTCTTGACAGACCTACGTGTGTTGCCGGGAGTAGACCTTAGTATTGACAGACCTACGTGTGTTGCCGGGACTAGACCTTGGTATTGACAGTCATATGTGTGTTGCCGGGACAAGACCTTGGTCTTGACAGTCCTACGTGTGTTGCCGGGAGTAGACCTTGGTATTGACAGTCCTACGTGTGTTGCCGGGACTAGACATTGGTCTTGACAGTCATATGTTTGTTGCCGGGACTAGACCTTGGTCTTGACAGTCCTACGTGTGTTGCCGGGACTAGACATTGGTCTTGACAGACCTACGTGTGTTGCCGGGAGTAGACCTTGGTATTGACAGTCCTACGTGTGTTGCCGGGACAAGACCTTGGTATTGACAGTCATATGTGTGTTGCCTGGACTAGACCTTGGTCTTGACAGTCCTACGTGTGTTGCCGGGACAAGACCTTGGTCTTGACAGTCATATGTGTGTTGCCTGGACTAGACCTTGGTATTGACAGTCAGACTGAGTGTGTGAATACAAGCTACCGAACCCTTTCCTTATTCATAAGAAATCTCTACTGAAAGCAGGGCCTGTTGTTCAATTCCGGCTATATCGTAGACATGTGCTTATGCATGATGACACCCAAAAATGTTAGTTGTTAATAACAGTTTAGTAATATTATCAGATGTGGTTTGGACTTGGATTGCATTGAAGTTCGATTGCACGGATATGTATTGCTTGGATTATTCGAGGACAGTCTGTAAAATGCCCATATTAACCCTGTATATATGTTTGGAAATGAAGACATTTTAGGTTTGGATAGGTCGCTAAGTTTTGGAATGAAAGTGTTTGACCGGCGTGAAAAACAAATTTGAAAACTATTGTACAAGGGGCCCTGTCGACGGCGTCAGACATGTTTTATTTTCTGGAAATTCATCGATATAAACTTGCATCTTCAAGCTTTACTCTTCTAAATCTCAAAAATGATTGGCTGGGTATCGGTGCATAGGTATTGACACATGATCTATGAGATTTGCCAGATTAAGGAGTAAAAATGTCAACGAGCCTCAATAATACAAGTGAGTGAGTACTGTTAACCCTGCTTTTAGCAATATTCCAGCAATATCACGGCGGGGAACACCAGAAATGGACTTCATAAGTTAACGCATGTGGGGAATCGAACCCGGTCTTCGGCACTTTGTTTAGATGATCCCTGTAATCGTGTGTTGTGAAATACAATCCGTGTCCGACATGTCTACATGTGCTTATATTTGGTGCAGGTGTGTGGTCTCTGCATGCCGGATACAGTACATGTCCTGTTTGTGCATTGTCTTATTGAAAATCGTTTAACAATCAGGCGTGCTGCAGAGACGCGGGTCATCTCCAACATGTATAAACGCATACATTATCAGAGTTATAAATGATATTATTGTTTTGTTATGGGTGAAATAAGTAACCATTACTAAGACCACCTGGGAGGTGTTTGTTCAACTTGAATAGCATTTGATGTAACAGTGTTTAAATCGTGGTTCTAATATTAGAAATGGTTATAATAATTGTACGTGTTCGTCATATTTTGTGAGACACAATATGAAAATAAAGCTGTTTTATGTAGCAGTGTTGGTCTTCATCTTAGTAGGCGTCATCTTAGTTCCCTAGTGGTAGAGCGTCCGCCCGGAGAGTGGAAGGTCCGGGGTTCGATCCCCGGCCGCGTCATACCATACGACGTTAAAAGATGGTACTTGTTGTTACTCTGTCTGGCGCTCGGCATTAAGGGGCTAAAACGAGGACTGGTCGGCTCGGAGTCAGTAGACTGTGTCTGAATGGGGTATTCATGTTGAACTGTGGCATGGTAATATATATAAACCGGCCTCAGTCCGGACTAGTACAAGCAGCCACACACACACACCCACACACACGCACGCACGCACGCACGTCGCTATATATAAGTGCAATAATCTTGGACGCGATGTTAAACCCAATTTCACCTCACCTCACCTTCATCTTCGTTCCCCAAAGAGGCCTTGATGGCGGCTTTCCACCTCGTCCAGTGTCGTCGTTACTGGTAACAACTCGACCACTCAGGTGTATTCTGAGTAAGAGGAAGAGATAAACGTCCCAGGGGAGTAAGGGGCATGGGGAAGTTATTTAAACTACAATCTGCAGCTGCAACTATTGTCACTTGTGACGTGTACACAGGCACCTTGTCCTACAGCAGCAGCACACCTGCACAGAGCTGACGTGAGTTTAGGGGAGAGCTAAATGTCCGAGGGTGCTAGGTCAGGGGGGTAAGGGGCATGGGGAAGTTATTCAAGCTACAATCTGCAGCTGCAACCACTGCCACTTGTGACGTCGGAGCTTTCCTCGATGTCGTCCCTCTATCTTAGGCGACGTAGTTCTGTGACATAGTATTGTCCATCAGTAATCTCATCTCGTTGCATGTGTCCCGTGAAGATCCAGGGTAGAATAGGTCTTCAGCAACCCATGCCTGCCGTAAAAGGCGACTATGCTTGTCGTACGAGACTAACGGGATCGGGTGGTCAAGCTCGCTGACGTGGTTGATGCATGTCATCGTATCCCAATTGCGTGGATCGATGCTCATGATGTCAATCACTGGATTGTCTGGTCCACACTCTATGATTTACAGACCGCCGTCATATAGTTGTAATATTGCGGCGTTAAACAACAAATAAACAAAACCTCGTTGCATGTGGTC